AAAATGTTATGGACTTCAATCTGCAAGGATTTTAAATGGAAAATGTAAGGAATATATTGTGTGGCTGATGTGTTTGTAATGGATCTAGATGCTTACAATATGGTTTTAGATGTTCAGTGGTTAGCCACCTTGGAGGACATTGCCTGCAACTATAAGAGTATATGGATGAGTTTTGACTGGTAAGGACAAAAAGTAACGCTAAGGAGAGAAGAGCCTATGAAGTTGCAATCAATTCAATTTGGACAAATAAGAGGATTATTGGATAGTAGGGGATGTATAATGGGAATTAGCCTCTATAGCTTGACAATGAATCCTCAAACTATTATTGTGGCAAATGCATTATTCATGGGAAAAAATTTTAAAGAGGAAGAGAAGGAAGCTCTCCAAAATCTACTTCATCTTTACCAAGATATGTTCACAGCCCTGGCTGGTTTACCCCCTACTAGACTTAAAGACCATATTATTCCATTAAAGGAAGGGGCTCAACTTGTTAACCTTAGAACATACATGTACTCTAATCTATAGGACATAGTGGAAAAAATAATCTCTAAAATGGTGGATTCCAGCACAAGCCAAAGCCCATTTGCATCACCAGTAGTACTAGTAAAGAAAAAAGACTTCTTTTAGAGGTTGTGTTGATTATAGGAGTCTCAACAAATTAACAATCAAGAATAAATTCCCTATACCCTTTTATTGATGAGCTGCTAGAAGAGTTAACAAGGGCAACTATATTCTTAAAAATTGATTTATAATCTGGCTATCATCAAATTAGGATGAGCTCTAAGAATATCCATAAGACAACATTTAGAACACATAATAGACACCACGAATTTCTTGTGATGTTGTTTGGTCTTACTAATGCTCCTACCCCTTTCAAAGCTTAATGAATGAGGTGTTTAGATCTCATTTGAGGAGGTTTGTTTTAGTGTTTTTTTAACGATATTTTGATTTACAATAAATCCTACAAGGAGCACCTAAAACATCTATATGTTGTTTTAACCCTATTTAGGACAAACAAACTGGTGCTAAAGGAAAACAAATGTGTCTTCGGTGATGACAAGGTAGAGTACCTGAGCTAAGAAGTTATAGGAAGTTTGTAAAGGGCTATGATAGCATATGTAAACCCTTGACCAAACTTCTAAAAAAAGATACAGTTGGTTGGGACTAAGAAGTCACCTTGGCTTTTAAATCTTTTAAGGAGGCAATTGTTAACCCTTTAGTCCTATCCCTACCTGACTTGAGCAAACCTGTTATCATTGAGACTGACGCATTAGGGTTGGGCATTGGGGTAATATTAATGTAGGAGGAACACCTTATTACCTACATCAATAAAATTTTAATGTCTAGGTAGCAAGTGTTATCCACCTACGAGAGAGAGATGTTGGAAATCTTATAAGCAGTAACCAAGTGAAGACAATATTTATAAGGTAGGCCCTTCAAGATTAGAATTGACCGTATTAGTCTTAAATACATGTTGGATCAGAAAATATCATCTCTCTCCTAACATTTATGGATGATTAAACTACTTGGTTTTGATTACGAAATTAAGTTTCATAAGAGAAAAGAGAATGTAATAGTTAATGCTCTTTCTAAAGTCACTAGTAGTAGACTCAATGCTCTAGCCTTGTCTATAACTTCCACTAACTTAGTATTAGAAACCTTGTCTATAACTTCCACTAACTTAGTATTAGAAATCAAGAGGTCTTGGGAGGTGGATAGTAAGGTGAAATCAATCATTCAAGATTTAACTAAGAACCCCACTACACATCTTCACTACAAATGGAGTGATGGTTACCAATTTAGAAAGGGAAAATTAGTGGTGGGGAACAACCTAGCACTCCAAAATCAACTCATAACTACTTATAATGATACATATTTGGGTAGACACTCTGGTTCTACAGTCACCACAGCAAGGGCTGCTAGTATATTCTATTGGAAGAAACAACAAAAACAAGTCAAATAGTATATAAAGGAATGCCCAACTTGTCAAAGATACAAATCAGAGAATGTAGCCAGCCCAGGATTACTATAACCATTGCCTATCCCAACAAAACCCTTCACATACATCAGCATGGACTTCATAACTAGCCTACCTAAATCTGAAGAAAAAGAAGTTATATTCGTAGTAATGGATAGATTCAGCAAGTATGCATACTTCATGGCACTTTTACACCCCTATATTACTATCTTAGTAGCCTAGACTTTTATGGATTCAATTTACAAACTACATGGTTTGCCAACTACCATAATTAGCGATAAGGACTTTATTTTTCTAAGTAAATTTTGGAAGGAGCTATTCAATCCACAAGGGGTTAACCTTTACCACTCCACCGCGTATCATCTTTAATTAGATGGGTAGATCGAGATCATCAATAAATGCCTAGAAAACTAATAATAATAATAATAATAATAATAAAGAAAAAGAAGGAGAAGAAGAAGAAGAAGATGAGAACTTTGAGATGGAATATTAATGTAACGATTAAACAATGATAATAACAAATGTCAAGGTTAGAGGTTCCACTAATGGTATATCAAACAAGTATAGTATAAACTCTTATTATTGAATTGGAAACCACACACAAAGGAGGTTCCAATCAGATTATATATTGTTAACATGATTACATTAGTCATCTTATTCAATTAATGCTAATACTTGTAAATCTCGTCAAGCATTCATGATTATAACTTATGTTAACAATAAATCAAGTTCCTTTCATAGCTCAGGTGTCGGTTATACCATACATTATGGGCTATGAAAGTGCCAAGCATTTGTTGTACCAAGTGTTATACAACATAAATCAAGATTAGTTATTTAACAAGCAAAGTATTAAAGAGTGAACAAGATAACAAATATAAAACATGTTAGTATCAAACATTAAAGTCCATATTAAGTTTACATTATACTTATTCTTACACCATTAGTGTAACCTTTTCACCTTGACATAATTAACTTAGCTAGACATAATGAAAGAAAGCAAAATAGATAAACAAAATAAGAACATAAAAGTTAACTAAGTAAAGGAAAGGAAATGAAAGGCATAAACTTAATATTAATGAAAACAAAGCATAAAAAATACAAAGAGAGAAAGGAAGAGCATGATCTTGATCTGGAAATCAAGATGCCTAAATGCATGGCAAATGCCTCCTTTTATAGGCCAAAAATGGGAACTATTGATTTGATGACTAATTGATAAGTGGGTGGCCAACTTTTGACTTGGTGACAATCTTTATCTTCTCTTGTCTGCCCAAAACGTCATTGATAACGTCAAAATTGGAGCCAGTTGCAAACATGAAAGTTGTAGGCAATTGTCTCAGCTTTCTTGTGTAAAAACTTCAGCTCATTTGGACTTCTAGAACTCCAGATATGGCCAAAATACCGAACAGTGCTCGGGCTGGAAGACAGATTCGGGCTTCTTTGTTGTTGCTACAATTTGGACTTGATAATGGCCTTTTTAGATCTTGGGCTCCATATGAAAGTTGTAGGCCTATGTCTTACCTTTCCATCCATATAAATTTGACCTAAATCTGAGATATATAGCTCCAGATATGACCCATTTACCGAACAGTGTTCCGGTTTGGATTGCACCGACATCTCTTTTCTAAGTTTGGCCATCTCTTTATCCTTGCAATTTAAGTTCTTCAAGTCATCAATCAATCCTTTCATTTATGTGATAGGCCTGCATTAAAAATAGATATTTACCATAAATTATAGGTATCTTATATTATTAGATACATTATTGTAAAACATATTTTAGTTAAGGAGTTATTGATACTTCAAGTGCAAAATGATGATATAAAACCATGATAAAAATGCACTTTTAAGTACTAATCATTTCCCCCCATACACATTCCCTATTTTCCTAAGGATTCACTAATAGAGATAAGTTGATCATTATCTCAACAAAAAGGAGTAGATGCTATAAACCACTCCACCGCGTATCATCTTTAATTAGATGGGTAGATCGAGATCATCAATAAATGCCTAGAAAACTACTTGAGGTGCATGATAGGAGGCATCCCTTCACAATGGTGTAAATGGCTGGATTTGAGCAAATGATGGTACAATACTAACTTTCACACCACAACTAAATCTACTCTCTATAAAATTCTATATGGTTTCCCCCATACACATTCCCCATTTTCCAAGGATTCACTAATATAGATAAGTTGATCATTATCTCAACAAAAAGGAGCAAATGCTACAAACAATCCTGCAAAACTTAATCAAGTCACAAAACAAAATGAGGCAGTTAGCTAATAAAAAAAGAAGTGATAGAGTTCTAAAACCAAGTGATTCGGTTTACTTAAAACTACAACCCTACAGGTAGAAATTGGTGCATCACAACCACTACCACAAGTTAGCAGCTAAGTATTATAGCCTTTGTACAGTAATCGAGAGAATTGGGGAAGTTGCATACAAGCGAAGTCTTCCTCCCTCTTTAATAATCCACCCTATTTTCCATGTGTCTCAACTGAAAAGGTGTGTGAGAAATAAGATGGTATATAAAAGCTTACCTAATTGTTATAGGGACTGTGCTACACCCCCAAACAATTCTAATTCCTAAATCCTATGATAGTCAAGAGAGCTCAACAAGTTATAATGCAAGTTTTAGTGTACTAGCTAGGGCTATCTCTTAGTAATGTGACATGGGAATTAATGGATAAAGTAAAACTCAAATTTCCAACTCTTAACCTTGAGGATAAGGTGATTTTGAAAGGGAGAGATTTGTTACAAATGGATTCAGTTTAAAGATTTATTGTGCGTTTGGAAATGCGGATCAATTTATGTTTCTAAAAAAATTAATTTTTTTTGTTAAAGATTAATTTTTTATATATATTTTAAATTGTTTTGATATGCTGGTTTTAAAAATAATTTTTAAAAATAAAAATTATTATTTTAATATATTTTAATATAAAAAATATTTTAAAAAATAACTATAATGAATTACCACACAAACCTTAAACCAAAAAAATTCAACAAGGAAAGAAGTTAGTGCTAGAAGCAAAACACACCATTTGACGTACCCTGTACGCGCACTTTTTTAGTAATTGTAATTCTTGTGTCTAAGAAGGCACTAGACTTTACTCCCGCCTTCTACAGTGCCCATATATAAGGGCCGTTGCAAGAATGAAGTAATGAAAAGAGAGATATTATTCTGTCCTTTTAAGCAAGTCCTTTTTCTCTCCTTATTCCTTTCGACTGGTTCACCGACCTTCTCTCATTCTGTTAGTCGTCTTCTCTAAATTCTTAGTCCTGCTCCATCGCCGCAACAAGAAGAGGGACATGCGTTCTCTTTGGATCCAACGCATCAATGCTGGCACCCGCCAACATGGTGTTAGTCTTTTTTCTTTTTAACGCATCTTGTTGGTGGGTTTTTCTTGTCATTGAATGGTATTTCTTTTATGGGGCTGGTGTGTTTTTGTGAATTCATGATTTTTCTTTGTTTAGTTGTGTTTTTCTTGATTTACTTACTGATTGGCAGTCTGCATTGGAAACAATGAGATGGATATGTTAGAAAATGTAGGACATGATCTGCCTTTTTTTTTTTTAATAAAGCTTGATGTTTTGAGGCTTTTAACTGCGAACTCAGATGAATTCTAGTCTCTCTTTTATTTTTCTGTTGACAAATTTTGGAATAAAAATAGAAGTTTCTATCTTGATGTTTTCTTTTCGGATATGTGTTGAAAGGACAAGGTTTGGTGTTTCGAAGGCTTAATCTTGGCTGATAAGTGTTGGTTGGGAAGTAATAAATGTGAAATTTGTTGTTATGGTGGATCGGTAAATTGCGTTGGCAGATATCTTTTCTATTGATAAGGGAGAAGAGTTTGTAAATTAAGATTTGGCTTATGTAGAACCTTATAATTTCTGTGGTTTTGAGCAATTTCTTCTTTTGTTGATGAGGGAGTTGAAAGTGCAGTGAAGCATATAAAAGAGAAGTGGTTTTGGAGAAAATTTGAGCCCTAGTGGTTGATGTGGCAGCTACTACATGGAGGTAATAGGGGGCAAGATGGCTCTCATTGGCTTTGGATGAAGTTTTCCAAACATGCATGCTGAGCTGCATATTTGTTTTATTTTTGTGCAAGGCTCATCACAATGGGAAATGCTGTTGCTTATCGTGTTTTGCCTGACTTTTTTTATCACTTGTGTTTGACATGTTCCATGTTCTGTTGTGAACTTGTTGCTATGTTTTCTCCTGTAGATAATGTTTTTCCATGCGTTAGTGGTTATTAGAACAAGCAAACCTCTATGTGAAAGAAATTCCTTTATCAGATTTGAATTTCAACATTGGAACTGGTGGCTTGTTATTGTGTCAATTTTAGCACATGTTGGATGATTCTGTTTTCAGGGCATGGAACTTTGAAATAGTTTTCCATTCATTGATGTAGGAACTAGGAAGGGAGATGAAGTGACCTAATTGTTTGAGAAAGCTTAGCCCTTTTCGGGGTAACAGGATTGTGGGGATGTTGAGTTTTATAGAATGCAGTACTTCGCTTGGGGCATGTCCTGTTGTGCCTTGATGTTACAACATTACTTGGGATTGGATTATTTGAAAAGCTTAGGAGTTTGAGAAAATCTGGTGGAAAATCATCATGCAAATGCCAGAAGTTAAATTGACCTCTATGGCATGAGTTGGTTTGCAATTATGAAGTACTAAAGAAAATCAACAAAAGTGAAGTTTTTTTCTGAAAGAAGGGAGGGGGAGAATCCTGGTTTCTTTTAATCTGCTTGTTCTAGATTTTGACTTTCTTTTCTTATAAATAGAACACAAACTGGGAAAAACTGAGGTGTAATTGACTTCTTTATCATTTTGGAGCAGATTGATGTATGTTTGGGTAGTGCAACTTGAATATTTTCCGCATTATGAAATTTCTCCATGGTGGGATCCTGACCTTTGGCTTCTTCTGCTGCTCTGTTTTATTTATCGCTATCAGGTTAATTTTGGTAATTTCATGCATGGGCTGCTGAAGGAGAACTTTCAGCTGAACAGAAAAGTCTTATCAGAGATATCCATGCACGAACCATATTGTTTCAAGGCCCTGGTAGGCATTTCCCGCAACGCCTTTCCTGGAAACAGAAATGTGGTGCATCCTCCCAGGAAAGTGGACATTTCTTCTGTTAATGTGTAGTTCTTTAATTGGGCACCTTGGTAATTCACTCTTTTTAGAGCCCTTCAGAGCTTGTCTGAGACAAACGCTTTAAATAGGTAGCTTTTTATTTCCTGGGGTAGTTTAGACCTCCCTGTCTCTGGATATATGGATGAATGAAAACAGCTAGGCATTCTGAAGAAATAGAAGTGATATCTGGCCAGTTACATTTCAATATTTAAGGATGCGCAACACGAGAAATTCTTCAATTTTCAATTTTCAAAATGAAGAATATGAGAAATTCTTCAATTTTCAATTTTCAATTTTCAAAATGAAGAATAATTTTACTTTCATGAGAAAGAAACTAATCATCTTAGAAATTTTCTCCCCTGCTGTAACTCTGCTCTGTTTCTATAGCATTTCGAATTTACTTGCGTTGTTTGATTTTGTATCATTGATCTCCACTGAATGCACTCTAATGTATTGATGACAGCTCGAACATATTTGGGTACTTGTAAATTCTGTTTTTTGAGGATATATTAATTGGCTTACCCAAACTTTGAAATCACTGACAGTGGAGTGTCATGATGCTAAATCGATATATAGAGATTAACTTTATAAATTCTTCTCTGAATTTGATCCTATTTGTGAAAAAATGGCATTGAATGATCTCTCTTTATCATTCTAAGAGACATCCTCATATGTGGAAGTCCCCGAGGTCTGCAGTCTCTTATGACAGCTCCTGCTTGAAGAATTTGCAAGGTTTAACCAAGAGCTCAATGTGAAGAGTGAAATACTACAGGGCACTTCAGTTTGATTATTAATGCTGCAGTATATAGTACTGCGTATGCATGACAACATGGTGAAGGTGTATTAAGAGTTTAAGTCTAACCATGATGATCAAAAGTTCATATGCTGTATGTTAACACTGGACAGGAAGATTACCAGTCCAAAAACAAGGAATCGTTCATTGCTGAGAACATAGGAATCGTGGATGACAGTTGCATGCTTGCATTTACCTTTTCTAGCCCACTGTCCAAGAGCTGATACGATATATATTTGGACATCCGACTCCCGGAGCCCATCCTACTTGTGTACACTACGGGGAAACAAAAAGGAAATGAAGATCAATATAGTCGTTACTCCATTTTTGTGTTATTTTGTTCACAAGGGATTCTTGCAGGCTAATTTCCAGAATCCATCCTTTGTTTAAGCAGATTTAGCTTGAGTTGCACTCCGCTATGCGGGCATCGAGTTCGTATAATCTGTGAGTGAATTGCATGCACGCCTTGGCAAAGTTGACTAGCAAAGCAGACGCAGTAGCACAGAGAGGTAGAAAGAAAGTTTGCTGAATGAATTACCAAAGGTAATCAAAGGTAGAAAGAAAGATTTGCTGAATGAATTACCAAAGGTAATCAAATGGCTAGCATTTCTGAGACAATAAACCACTTGCAAATCAATTAACCGAAATGCCACTTACATGAGTACAATAGAAGGCTTATTTTACTTGTTTTTTTAGAAGCTTACCTTCAGTTTCATCAATTGATCACCAGACAGTAGCGTTTCAGAATTTCCATGCTGTGACTGATAATTCTCCACAGCCAAGGGTAGTAGCTCAACAAGCTGGGGGGGAAAAAAGAACATGGATTTTGTAATAGATGTCGGATAAAAAACAAGAGACTCATATTGGCAGATGATCTTTCTTCGACAGAACCTGCATGATTGCCAAGGTCAACTCATATTTTTTTAACAGGAGGGGAGGTGTGTAATCTAGCAACTGTGAAATAAAAGAAGGCGTCGGAAAAATGATTGTTTACCTCAATAATTTCGAAGCTCATTTGTATTACTTAGCATATCTTACAATTCTCAATATGCGATTGCAGATATCCGCATTAGAGGAAGAATTAAAGCGAAGAGATTTGATAGTTACATCTTGTAGAGACATTAAATCCTGCGGTAGAACTTTGGAGAATATACTTTCTCGCCACCTCGAAGTAGAATCTAACTTCATTGACAAAGCTTGAAGATGTTCAGCTGAAACAGTAACACGAAAAAGGGTGCTGAAACCTGAACTAAAGAGAGGCTCTGTGGACGTGGAGATCCAACGGGTACTCGAAGTTGCATCGACTTATCTCCAGATTTTTCATACATGGACATTTGATGGTAACATGAAATCTTTGTAGCACAACACATTCAAGGATTGCTATATTTTCAAGGGATGGACAAGCGATCGAAACAAAGTCATTGCATCCAAAGTAGAATGACTGATAATTAGTTGCAGACAAAGGCAATGCCAGCTGCTTCTTTTGTTCACTCATTGACATAAATGTCAAGCTCTTGAAGCTTGCACCTGAAATCATTTAATGCCAACTTTCAAAATTATTCAAAAGGAGAATCACTATTAGGGTTTTTTTTTTTAATTATAATAGTGCTAACGATTTAAAGTATTTTTTATTTAAAAATTTATTAAAATAATATTTTTTTTATTTTAAAAATATCAGCACATCAAAATAATCCAAAAATATTAAAAAATATTTTTAATACAAATAAAATTTAAAATTTTTGAGAACATAATTTACACCGCATTTACAAACAACCTCTTTATAAATTAAAGTTTCTCTACATTGTATATTGGTATATGTTTACAAGTGTCATATAAATTAATACAGTAAACATGAAAATAATTATATAAAAATATAAAAAATTTAATTTCAAGAAAAATATAAAGAATTTTTAATTAAAAATAGTTTTAAAATACAAAAAATAAAATAAATAAAAAATATTTTAAGTAACAATTTGTGTTAACAATTTTTGTTTGGGACAAATAGGATGTAATTAACTTAAAAACTAAAATGTTTGGGGTGAATATTGTGTAATTAGCACTATTTATCCCCTCGTAAAAACATTTTGGATGACATAATTTATTTTTTAATAATTTTATTTTATTTTAGGTGATTTAATTATAATTTAAGGACAATTATTTTTAATTTCTTAGTTAATACTAAAATTAAAAAAATAAAAACTGAAATGAAAAAAATCAAATATTAGCTAGAAGTTCTGAAAAATTACTGAATTTCAATGATAAGAAGATAGATATTATTGATATCAATTTATATTTTTATATTAAATAATTTTATTTAATTATATTAAATGTTTTTATATGAAAAATATATTTAAACTCGATTTGAATTCTGAGCAAATTAGACAATGCGTCATTGTGGGTTATTCTGAGCAAATCTCAGCCTATCACTGCTGGCCCATTCTCAATGGCATGGTAATAATTATCTGTTAAAGAGGCTCCATTGTGGGTCGATCCTGAGTCTATCTCTGTCCTTGGGAATGAAAAATCCCACTGTCATTATCTGCAAGTTAATCACATGTCTGCATGTGCCCAGTTGACTTTCAAAACACAGACTCTGTTTACAACTTCCTGCACTGACAAAATCCATAATATTCCATGGGAGGAAGTGGAGTGCTGCTATCGTGATAATTTTTTATATTAAAATATATATATATATATTAATAATATATTTTTTAAAAATTATTTTTAATATTAATTAATTAAAATAATGTAAAAATATTAAAAATAAATTAATTTAAGTTAATAAAAAATTTTAAATTTTAAATTTTTTTAAAATACTTTTCAAACATATCAATATTTATGAAACAAATGATACCAATGCTGTTATATTTCTTTATAAAATATGTATAAATTGTTATTTTTTTATTATTTTTTTAAGTGATCGCTTATCAATTTTTATCTTGTAAAATTCAGCTTTTAATAATATTATTATGATATACTAATATTAAAAATAATTTTTAATATTTTTTTAAATTTTATAAACAATCACATGTATCCTATTTAAGAACCCTAAAAAAAAAATCAAGATATAAAATCATGTGATACCTTTAAAAAAATTCCTTACAACCAAGTCAAACTATATTCACATTGAATCTTTTTCTACATCCTTTTCTTTTATATTTCTGTACCAAAATTACTTATAAATTACAATATCCAAAAAGAAACGAGAGAGAGCCACAAATTAACATTGAATCTTTTCCATAGTAATAAAAGATTATACTGGAAAAGTTTAAGTGGCAGGATCAAGGTATAATATTTAATATTTAATATCTAATATCTAATTTAACGCTGCATATCTGTGCTTGCCGCGTTAGGCATTCAACACGTATAAAAGCGTATAACAAGAGTTAACACGTGACCCAATCCCGGCTTCTACTCCCTAGATCACCACCGCCATCTTTGGTGCACCGCCACACAATGGACCCCCAGCCACCGCCACCGCCACCACAACCACAACCACAACCACAACCACAACCACAAGCTACCACACCAAAACTTCGCCTAATGTGCAGTTATGGTGGCCAAATAATCCCACATCCCCACACCAAATCCCTCTTCTATTCAGGTGGTGACACCCGCCTCATCTCCATCCCCACCGGTACGAGCACCGGCACCGCCAACTGTCTCACACTCTCATCTTTAATCACTCACTTATCTACAACTCTGAAAATAACCACGCCAATCACTCTGAAATACCAACTTCCACATCACAATCTTGATTCTCTCATTTCGCTTTCTACCGATGAAGATGTCCTTATCATGCTTGATGAGCACCAAAACAACCGTACACCTTCACGTATTAGATTATTTGTGTTTCCAACCAAACCCTTTTTGAATCAGCCCGAGTTAAAGGCTACAACTCAGTTAAATCACCCGAAGACTGAGACTTGGTTTGTTGATGCATTAAAGAATGCAAAGATTGTGCATCTTGAGGGTAATGGTAATAATGGTGGTGGGTTCAGTGGTGCTGAGTCTGTGGTTTTGGAAACTTCTTCTTCTTTTGGGTCTACTTCGTCTTCGGTTTCGTTGTCAAATTTGGGTGTTAAAGGTGGTTTTGTTGAGGATAATGGGACTAGTTTGGTGGATAATAAGGTTAAATTGCCTACCCCAGAAGGAATTTCTAGGTATTTTTTATAAAAGTTTCGATTTTTATGCTCTCTTTTGAGTTATAAGGTTAGTTTTGCATTTTTTGTTGGATAATTTTGAAAAGTATGGAAATCGAGATTCTTAGGTTGTTAAAAGTTTTATTCTTCTTAGTGGAAATGTAGTTAAGCTAGATGAGTGCATCGTTGATTGCTATATAATTGATTACTTGGTATTATGTAGTAAGTGTTTTATGTTTATGTTTCGGGAATGAGTTTCTTCAGTCTGTCAATTATCTGTTTTTGGAAAATTTTGAAAAGAATGCAAATGTTGTCTTTTTGTGGTAAAGTTATTTTCTTTTGATGGTGATTAATATATTCTGTTGTTGATTGTTAGTAGTTTTTAGTTTTTAATGTTTTATCTTGTGTACGAGTTTCCAAGGTTTGCTGTTCTTTTTTTTTTTTTAATGAACATCTTTAAAGAGAGTAAAATTGGATATTTTAGAGGTTAAAGTTATGTTCATTTGGGTGTAAATAAATGTAATGGTTGTTGTAACGTTGGTTATTGCAGTGATCATGGTCTGGGAACTGCGGTTTGTCAGGATTCACAGTTTGTGACGTATCAAGATCCAGTTGGGGCTGTTACTTCAGTGGAGAGTAAAGCTTCTCTTATAAATCCATTTGAATCGGAGAGTAAAATCCCTGATCCTCCTCCTCCCATGGGGGTTGAGATGCATAAAACAGTTCCTGTTTCTGGGTATCCAGTGACGTTACAATATGGTCAGCCACAACAACTGCAATTCATTCAAACAGGTGGCCCACAGTATATACCCCAGGACTCGAGTGTTGTAGCGCCAATGTCTTCTTACTATGTAATGAGTTCTCCAGTGCCTCAGCAGCAGTTTTATTATCAGGCCAACCACCCTCAGCCGATATACCTAGTGCCCGTTGCGCAGCCACACAATTTACCCGAGCAAAAAGGTTTGATGAACACTGCAACTGTTGCTTCTAGCCGTCCTCCAGTGCATCATCATGATTCTACCATGCTCCCTGCTCAAGTAGCTTATCCTGTAGCTGATTTAACCTCACAAGTATATAGAGCAATCCCAAGAACAAGTTCGCCTGATACTTTACCTTCTAATGAAAATAAGCAACGATGTGGAGGACCTCCTCAAATGAATCACCAACCCCAGCCTTTATGTGCTGCTTCCAAGGATAGTGGTAACTATAGTAAACAAATTGATAATGATCATGTTCATGCCCAAATATACAAGTCTCAGCCTCCGCCTCCGCCTCTGACACTGCCTTCTCAGTATCAAACCATGACCCCTGCCACAACAATCTTGTTATCAGAGGCTATTGCACGGTTAAATACAGATAGCATTAAGCAGCAACAGCCAAGAATATCAAGCGATGATGAGTATAATCTACACTAAAACATGGGGACAGCTGTTTTTGGCGAATTGGATTTTCCTTCCATGGATTCTAAATTTTGGTAGTATAATATTTTATTAATCTGTAATAGAAGTGATGATCCAATCTTCTTACCCTTTTTTTAATATTTCCTTGTTTGTATGATGGTAATATTGTTATTTGAAATTAGGTGCTTAAGGTTATACAACTAAATCCTTACAGTAATATTCTACGCTTGAACAATCAGTGTATCTGTTTATTTAAAATTTAATCATACTTTTATCTTTTCTGTCGGTTGTAACATAAAATAATTTAATCATGTTGGTTAATTTGTCATTGTACTTTTATTCTTTGAAACAAGGGAACTAGATTTTTAATTTCTTGTGATGAAATTCAGTTTCCGGTGTGTGTTTGCGCTCTTGTATAGTGGTTATTCCTTGGTCTCAATAAATCAGCTCAAATTCTTTAGCTACAAGCATGGCTATGCTTTTTATTCTTATTATCCATTCGGTGTTTGGTGGGATTCGTGAATGCAAAGTCTTGGAACATGTCTTGCATTTTGACCATCACTGAGTCCCTGCAATAATGCCAACGTTAGAGCAGTGTACATCAAAATTTTCACCCTCCTAAGGATGTTGTTGAAAGTTATATGGATGGAACTAAATCCCATCGTTGTGCTTTAGAGGAATTTCGTTTCAGTTTCCATTGTTTCATTGTAGTTTACTGCCCATTAATAGTTGTTCCATTTCTTCACTGCCTTAAAGATAAGCATGTTTGCCGTATTTTCGAGGAATGTAGTTTTTAAGATATGCAGCACCTCTACTTCATTGAATGCAATTCTTGGTGATGAGTGCTAAGCATGCAAGTGTTTCAAATTTTTTTTCTCTAGCGGTCCCATTTTGAGGATGGTTATCATTCATTTATGCTTATTACAAATACATTTCAGATTACCCTCCGATGATCCTTGTCATATTTTGAAGGTTTTCTTATTTAAAACATGATTGTATGCTAAAATTCCATTACTTGTTTGCAGAAATTATGTGCTTCTCTAGATTAGAATTAAGGCTGTTTAACTTCAATCGAAACCCAGTTCAATTACTGACTCCAGATAGTTTAATGAGACTTCTCACCTTCTAAAGCGAAGAAATCGATGGTATGTTTTTGTTGAGACACGGATAGGGTAATAGGGGGAAGAAATTCCAGTAATTAGGATTTAGGAGTACAAACCACAATGTAACAAAATCATTGAGAGTACTAATAAAAATTCTGTACGAATTATTTAATTTAACACAACAAATACTGCAAGATCCAGATGTACATGGTGGTGAATAGGAGCTCAATGTAAGACAACATCCAAACAGGAGGAGAAATATTTGTAGCAGATTAGTAGTTCAATCCTAAGGAAAAACGCACCCATTGATTTGATTTTTCTGAGGAGGGTGTATAGACTAATTTCCCTCGATGAAACTGAATTTAAGTCGATGAGACCAATCTTTCCAGATTTTCACTCACATTCTTCATGGAGGGTCTCTTGTCAGGGCTCGCATGAACACAGGCTAGAGCAATCTTAAGTACTGCAATCATCTCATGTTCCTTGTCCGAATCACGAGCTAGGAAGGGATCTAGTACTTCGGATGGTGGCTTCACTTCAATGCTAAGCTGAACCCATCGGACTAGATCCATTCCTGACAGACTCATCTGCATAATTGGTGACTTCCCAGAAATGATCTCCAATAGAATTACCCCAAATGAGTAAACATCCCATTTCTGTGATGGTTTTATGACTTTTGAGGACTCGGGAGCTTCATAACAAGACCCCGACATGCTTGAATGTGTTGGTGTCAAAGCATATGGAGAACCCTGTTGTGGTGTTCCGCTTGTCATTTGTTCCCCTTGAACTGGTATAGATTCTTCACTTGTATAAGCAAAGCAGTTGAGTCCGAAATCGGAGATGTGGGGCTCCATGTTCTCCCCGAGCAGTATATTGCTAGTCTTTAAATTTCCATGGACATACCTTTTGGGACTGCATTCATGTAGAAAAGCTAGACCCTTTGCTAATCCTTTCATGATTCTAAGTCGAAAGGACCATGAAATAGGTTTAAAGTATGTCATTCCTGTTCTTCCTGGACATATTTTGAAGAAAGATTCAGAGCAGTTAAAAAGAGATTCAAAGCAGTTAATGTGACAATTGATTGCGATTTTTCATGGAAAACAACATTATCAAGAGCGGTTAAAAAGAGATTCAAAGCAGTTAACGTGACAATTGATTGTGATTTTTCATGGAAAACAACACTATCAACACGGTAGCTAAGTAGTTTTTTTAAAGTTTCTTACATGAGGAGTCGGGCTGGTACTTACCATGAATTGCAGTGGCAAGGTCACCATTGGGCACGTAATCATAGATAAGCAACTTCTCGTTGATGCACCAGCAATAAGCTAGAAGGCTGACAATGTTTGGATGTCTAATTTTGCCTATTGCTTCTACTGCAGTTTGAAACTCCCTGAACCTCTGAGAACCTCCATCTTCCAGTCTCCTCACTGCCACAGTTAGCCCCTTTTCAAGAACAACTTTATAGACAATCCCTATACCGCTCTTTCCAACCAGAAAAGCAGATGCTTTCAGAAGTTGTTCAAGATCAAAATTGACCTTTGAGTCTAATGGGACAAAGGTGTATTGTTCCATAGTTTCTGATAGAGATTCCAAGTCTGCTGTTCTGAAGCAGAACATTTCCTTTCTAACCATTGACTTTTCTTCAAAACTACGGCCCTGAGTGCGTATGCTTTCTTTACAACCATAAACCTTCTTGTACCAGTAACAGAAAGATAACGCAACTAGGCAAATTACTACCATTGTGCTGGCAACAGATGCGATCACGACCCAGCACCATTTTCCTCTCCCTGGCTTGCCTGAGCTGTCTCCTACTGCTAAGGGCCTAGGATCAATATTTGGATGGGAAGTGGTTGAAGGACATTGATTTTTCAGAGGAGGCCCACAGAGAAGAGGGTTGCCAAGAAAAGCAGTTGGACCTACATTCACCAGGGCATCAGTTTGTGGTATTGCACCGCTAAGATTGTTGTAGGTGAGATTGATATAAACTAATTCAGGAAGATTTCCTAGGCTTGCTGGAATAGGGCCATCAAAAAGATTGTGAGATAGATCAAGCACTCCTCGCAAGCTTGACAAGTTGCCTAGGCTGCCAGGGATCAAACCCCTGAAGCTGTTATGTGAAAGATTCAGTGTCTGAAGCATAACCAAATTGTTACCTAACTCATCTGGTAGAAAGCCGGTGAAAATGTTTCGACTGAGTACAAGATTTTTCAGTCTCTTGCATTGAATAAGATATGAAGGTAATGACCCATTGAAAGAATTTTGAGAAAGATCTAGGGTCTGTAGGTTCTTGAGGTTCCTTATCTCTTCAGGAACTGTCCCTGAAAATGAGTTTCCTGAGAGTATCAAGGATTTTAACCCTGCTGCATTAAAGAGCTCGACTGGCAAGCTTCCAGAGAGGTAGTTACTCCTGAGATTAACATGACTCAAGGTAACAAGCTTACCAGTATCAAGTTGCAGCATCCCAGCTAGTCCTTTGTTTGGAAGCCTGAGAAAAAAGACCTTCTCTTCTCTGCATGTCACTCCATACCACGAACACGGGTTCGCATCTGATGAGTTCCAGTTGTCCAGACTGCGAGTTGTGGAGTCTACTAGTGATTGCTTGAAGGATAGAAGAGCAAGACCTTCATCATTAACAGAACCAGCAAAAGTAATATAGTGGACAATAAAGAAAACTAGAGAAACAAATTGCAGAACCATCTCTACATAAAGGCAAATGTGGAATGGAGTTCAAAGGAGAAATGTCTGTGGTTGTGGGATCATCGTATGAGCTCAAGGAGATCATATACGGAAAGAAAAGAGAGGCTCTTTACTACTTTAGTGCTTTGTGTTTGCTGCTGGACCTTTTATGACCCTGTAAGGAAATAGCCACTGTAGTTGAAGTGCAGGCTGGGAGAAACCGGTCAATGCAGCCCTGCTGTGTCTAGTATTGAAGTTAAAAACCAAAACATGTGCCCACCACATTTGCTTTCTCTAAACGCAAAACTTTAAGTTTGAATTATTGCTAGACAACATTAATCGAATAGGCCTTACTTGTAGCATGCTTTCAATACCAGAATTATACTTGCAGACAATTCATCATGGTTACTCATTACCTGTCAAAAAACCATGACCAGTCAAGTTGTTGGTGTTTTCTAGTCTTTAACATCTTCGAACTGATGGGGCAAGCTGTGGTTTGAATTCCATAAACATCAGTGAGGCTGACACTTACAACCTAATTGTCTATGAATCCAGTTCTTAGCGTGATTGATGGCGTTATTAGGTGCATAAAAAAAGCCACTTGATGGGCAAACCAGTATAATTTGGTAAGACGGTTTGACTTTCAAGCTGTACAGGGTTGGTTGGTTTTGTCTTGCTGTGACCGGTGGAGGAAAGAAGTTTTTTATGACTTCCCCAGCTAGGGTTGGCGTCCATTGCCGGCTGGGCTGTCTCCGTGAGAACCAAAAGAAAAGGTCTCCACACGTTTTGGCGATACTGAGAAAGTTTGGGGTCCAGTGGAGGTCAGATCAAACTTTGGACTGGATTTCGCTTCCTAGCAACTTATCATTAAACTGGTTACAGACTACTAGCCTTATAGCCGCGATTTGCCATGGAACAGAACTGCTTTCTTTCTTTTTTTATTAAGAAATTATATTCAATTACCGAAACGGAGTAAAAAAAATATAAAAAAATAATTTTGATAATTAACATGATGAATTTATAATCATAATAATTAGAGTGAAATCAACTTTAAATATTTTACCAAACTCATAACCTATATCATAAAAATAAAATAATTTGATTAAAAAATAAAAGGATTATAAAATCTTTTTTTTAATACATTTTAAACCCATTATTTGGGTCATTTGAACATAAACACCCAATATGAAAAAAACCATAAAATTTAATTTCTAATCAATCAAATATTATATAATAAAATTGAAAAAAAAAAATTAATTATATAAAAGGATTAAAAAAATATTCATTTAAAAAATGATGATCAAAATTAAAAAATAAAATAAATTTTATATTTTATTGAATGTTGAAATTAAAAAGAATAAGGATTAAAATTGACATTAAAAAGAATAAGAATTAAAATTGACATAAAAAATTTTTATTGAATGTTGAAATTAAAAAGAATAAGGATTAAAAT